GAGCTCTGTGACTTTGCCAACCTAGAGAAGGCAACAATATCATGATGGGTATTTAAAGGACAAATCACTTTTCAAAACTGCTAGGAAAAGGGCAAAATAGGGTTCGAGAGGACAGAAGGATGGTTCATCTGCTAAGGAGGAGGTTTAGATTGGATGCTTGGGAAAAAATCTTCACTCAAAGGCTTGTCAAGCATTGGGAAAGGCTGCCCAGGGAAATGGCTGAGTCACCATCCCTGGAGGGATTTAAAAAACATGTAGATGTGTTGCTTAGCAATGTGGTTTAGTGGTGGACTTGGCAGTGTTGGATTAATGGTTGGTTTTATGATTTTAGAGGTCTTTTCCCACCTAAATGTTTCTGTGATTCTATGATGGGACAGAGAGAGCATTTCCATTACTGACATGAGACCTTCCCAAGAGCTGGTTGGTGCTCCACAGAGAAAATAGTGGTAGAGAGGGGAGAGCAAAGAAAATTATAGACCCAATTCCAGGAAAAAAAATGTTAGAAAAATTCATTCCACGATTGCTAAGTATTGAGATGATAATTAGGTGATATATACCCAGAAACACTGCCAAGAACAACTTTCACTGGCCAATCTAATTTTGTTCTGTGTCAAGATAACCAACCTTATCCAACAAAAAGAAAAACTCATGTGGGATATATCTTGAGTACCACTCTGGCCAGAGTCCCACACAATAACTCCAGGAGAAACTGTGGGAAAAATGGTCTAAATGAAGTCACAGCAAAATTAAGCAGTGACCCACTAGTCTCTTGAGCACACCTGGAAACAAGGCACTGTTGGAATATGAGATTAACCTCACCTTTTCAAATGTGGCATTTAAAGCCCCGGTTACAGGAAGGTTAATAAAATCAGTGTTAAAAATTTCCTGGCTTGTGGCATTTTAATTCAAGCTATTTAAACTCCCTGACCTATGTGCCTCCTTGTGTAAGGTAGGTTTTGTTAATTTTCCCCACAAAAAAAGATGGTTTGGGGAAGATAGAATTCCTACTGCTCTATGGCGTTTTGTGGCTGTTCATCTTAGACATGGCATATTACTTAGAAAGATATTTTGAAGTTTGGGTTTTTTTTAATTACTCAATTAAAAAAAAATAAAACAAAAAGAAAAACAAGAACAACTATACTCCCTGCTTTCCAACATCTCCATGCAACACCACTGCACAGCTGAAACCCAGAGAAGCTCCTACATGGAAATGGGGGAATATTTGTTTTTCCATGGATTTTGGGAGGCAGAATGAGGAGATGAAATCTGGATGTTTCTGGAGGAGGTTGTAATTCACAGCTGCTTCTGCTTCCACTTGCCACTCCACACTTTTTTCAGTGGCTGAATGACACTGTCATCCCCAAAAATTGATATACTCCAAGTAATCCTGGTGATCCCTCTTGTGATCCACCTTAGAGTGCTCCTTGGTTAAGGCTACAGAAGATTTGAGTTCCACTGAGTTAAACTTTCTCTCCTCCCAATTCCAATAATACTACTAGTAGTAAATACTACAACAACAACAACAACAACAACAACAACAACAACAACAACAACAACAATAATAATAATAATAATAATAAAGTATACTTTTTCCACAAGAAATCCTGGATATCCACTCTGAAAACCAGAGTTTGAACTAGAGCTGTCTGACACCAAGGAGTCCCAGGCAAACCAGATTCCCTAAAGAACTGCCTTGGTATTCCTCCACAAACTGCTGCAAATGGAGCTGTGGAGCTCTCTAATTAGGTTGATCTCTCTAATTGGGTTGGTCAGCAAGTTTAACCTCCACATGAGGTTGAACTGATGAGGGGTTGTAAGTCCATCATCAAGTCAGTCCAGGGTCAAGGGGAACTCCTCCAAGTAATTAATCTTTCCCAGCCTGGGGAGCACATCCAGATCGAGCATGGAGGAAACAGTCCCGAGATGGACATACAGGTATAAGGACAGAGTGGTATCACCCTTTATTAAAGAAAACCACACAAAATCTAAGCCCCCTTTTCTTTGCCCTTTCATGATTTTAAAGATTAATCAGTGCCACCCCCATTGTCTTTTTTGCTTCAAGATTTCAGGGTTGTCTGTTGGATACCTGAATATACCACTGGACAAGACCACTGGACAGTAAGTACCTGCAGGGATGTTGGTACTTGTTTTTATTTATTTTTCAGCCATAAAGAAAAGTAGAGGCTCAGAGCACATGCAGAACATGCCCATCAAGCTCTGCCCCTGCTGTGAGCAGACACTTGGATGCCGGCAGGGAGGCCGCGCTCTTTTGTTCCAGCCATTCCATGATCTAATAAGAGGGAAGTTTTTTTCTTAGCAAACCAGTCATCCATCTTCCCGAAGCAGGAGGCAGATGATTAGTGTTGCATTACCCTCTCCTGACACTTAATTAATGACAATATTTGGGGATGTTACAGCAAAAGGCATTCGACGTGTTGGTCTCCCGCAGTGAAGGGACACGAGGAGCTACAGAGGTTCAGATAAACATTGAACAGAATCACAGGATGCCAGGTTGGAAAGGGACATCCAGGATCATCTTATCCAAACTTCCTTGGCAAAAGCATGACCTAGAAAAAATCCTGCACCCCATCCAGCTGGATTTTAAAACTGTCCAACATCCAGGAATCCACCACTTCCCTGCGGAGATTATTCTAAAGGCTGTTTGTTCTCATGGCAAAAAATTTTCCTCTTGTCTGAGTGTCTGACATCTGAATCTCCCCAGGAGTAACTTTACCCATTACCCCTCATATTTTCCATGTGACTTCTTGCAAAAAGGGAGTCTCCATCTTATTTGTAGCCACCCTTTAAATACTGGGACATGGTGACAAGGTCTCCCCTAAACCTTTTCTCAAGGCCGAACAAACCCACCTCTGATTGAGACCCACAGAAAGGAAACACCTCCAAGTTGCCTTGGCCAATGCAAACAGGTCCATCCCCTTGCAATCTTTTCCACAGGGACACCCAGCCAAGGGGCTAACCAATTTTTGCTTGCTGGGAATATCAACCCTGGAAGACCTTGGAACTGTGTCCATTGGAATGCCACCTGAGATGATGTGTGTATGCACGGGGGGAAAAGCCAGCACTCAACTCCAAGCCATAAGCCAATGTGTTAAAAGGCTCCAGCTGGGCAGGCAACAGCCATGGTTGTTCCAAAAAAGCTGATATTTCTACACCAGCTGCTTTTTGCAACCACTGAGGGTGACTTCAGTGTCACATCAGTAACTGCCAAGGGATGGGCAAGCTGGGCACAATGAGGTATCTCTTCAAATATTTAGAGATTGCAAGTGTCTTGAGTTATTCTGTGCATTTGCATTAAAACCCAGTGGTCTTTTCACACAGCACAATAAATATTCATGTTTTTCTAACCTAAGCTACAATGCACCAAGATTCATCATTTGTCTAGTCCACATTTCAATTCTCTTTTCTCACGGTTCTTTGATTGTGCCCAAGTATCCCATTCTTCCTTGTTTTTATGCCTTTAATTTTGCCTTGTAGAATAGCCTAGAAATCACTATTTACAACTGAACAGGCAGCTCTCACTCACTTCAATACCTTCTCCCTGTTCAAAGAGGAAAATCATAATTACACTCAAACTCATAAGAAAATAGAAAACCAGAAGAAACTTCTATGTTTTTCTATGTATTTCCATCCAGGGAGAACAGCTATTTGCAAAACAAAGAAATGTTTCCCAAAGAACATTTGCAACCCTCAAAACATGAAAACCAAGTCAGGCTGCAGCAATGAATGGCACAGCTGAAACCAAAGGCCGGTGAAGAGAGGGGTGATGTTCTTTTCCCTGGGGCAAAATGATAACAGAGCCCTTGGCCCCTTTCCTGATGCTTCTGTGAAGGTCTCAACTCCCAGTTGTGTCCACATTGTAGGCTCTGCAGCCTCATGCCTCAATGCAAGCCAGGCCCAGGACCAAAATTAAATGAAGGATGTGTCCTAGTTAACAAGACTTGCTGAAAGCCAGACTAGATTAACCCAAATCAGCCCTACAGCAATTGTCCATCTGGACTGGGGTCTGGTAAACATCTGGGCAGCTGCAGAGGTGGGTTTTTTACCTCCCCATGCTGCTCAGAATTGGGCAGGATGAGACCCACCTTCCACCTCCAGCCTCACGCCAACAGGGACAACCTCAGCACTACCCAAGTTCTGGCAAAGGATGCCTCCTACAACCTGCCAGTGTCAGGAACAGGAGAGTCAACACCTACAACACACAAAATCAGGAGGTTCTAACTATTAGCTGTGCTCCACGTTATAGCAGTTACACAGTGAATTTGCTTTTATGAGGAGCAGGTTTGCTTTGGGGACCCTTTCAGATACACAGGTTGGCAGCTGGGTGCTTTTTCCTTTCTGCTTTACCATTTCTTGAGTCCTTTAGGGCAAGGGGGGGACAGGTAAGGAGAGCACATTTGGTCTCTGCTTAAAAACTTGCCACAAGGAAAGAATCCACAGCCACTTGCAAGCCACTGTTTATGGTTTCAGCATTTCCACAGGAAGTTTTTGCCCCTGTTGTTGCCACATCCAAGCACGTTTTCCAGGTTCAAGAAGCCTCCACTCCACAGCACTGGAGTTACTGTCTGGGGGAGCACAGCCCACTGCATTTTGTACATCTCCTCATCTACTTCCACCATCATTGCATCCCCAGCCAGCCCCAGATCAACCATTTAGACCAACTTATTGCAACGGTGATGGGGAGATGAGGACAGACACGAGCAGGTCTAGAGAATATTCCATATTTCTCCTTTCAATCCCCCAAAATTCCTCCAAAATCCTCATTAGTTGCAGCCTCAAACCCTGAGCACGGTAACACGTTGGGCCTCATCACATAAATCAAACTCAAAAAGTTTGGTTTCCACCTCCGAAAATCAGTGTCAGAAATGACCCCTGGTGAGAGTTTGGTATTTACACACCAGCCACACTGAACCTGAGCAGTGAAAACTTCACTCCTTAGGGAGTCAGGGAGAATAAATTACAGCAAGGGATCGATACTTTACCGAGAGGTTGATAGCCTTGTCTCGAAGGGCCTCCAAATGGGTTCCTGCTCCCAAATCCACTCCCATCAATGGATCCATAAGACATTTTCTAGATAGTGATGGATGTGAGATTACACTTCAAACCTAAAAAACAGAGAAAAAGACAGACATAGCCATGTTAAAAGTCAGTTAAACCCCAGTAGTCGAAGAAAACAAGAGGACTAAAAGGACAAATAAAAGATACAGGGCAATCTCCAAACTCCAGGATGTCCACCTGCAAAAAATTAAAAGCACTAAAATCCAGGTCTTCTGGGCTACAAACAATCTTGGGGACAAACAAGTCATTTCACCTCCCTGTGCCTTATTTTCTCCATTGGTAGAGGGCAACTTTAATTCCTCGCTGCTCACAAAGTGCTTTGAGATCCTGAGCTGGTGGGAAAGACTAAGCACTCAATCAAAAACCAGGTAATGCTGTCTTCTGGAACATTACCAGTACACAGCTGGCTGGGAGTCCATCCATCACACTGCAGTCTTGATGAGCTCTCAAAAAGGACAGTTTGTTGCTATATCATAAGCTCCTGGGCTTCCAGTAAAAATATTGGAGCCAGAGTTATTTTTCCTTGCTGGTTAAAAAAAAAATAAATATTAAAATTTAAAAAAAACCTGCAAGGCCTAAGGTAGCAGCAGTAGGATGAAATCAATGCAGCACTGCCAGAAGAAGACTCCTTCATCGCCCTTCCCACCTCCCCATCCAAAATGTTTTACCAGGGCCACAGAAAGCCTCCAGTATATCAGTGGTGTCCCAGGACTTTGATAGGAAAAATAGCTCAGCTCTAAGGCATGGAGATGGTGATGGAAAATGCTACAGGATCAAACCCAGCTACTACTTTCTTACACTAAGGCTATGAAAAAATAAAACAACAAAACAACCAAAAAACAAACAGATGTGACTACCACCAAAAAAAAGGTAAAAGACAGTGTGGCCTTCTGGGAGAGTCCCATGGAGAGGACACATTGATGTGAGATGATTGGGAATACCAGCTGCCCCTCATGCCCTTCATCTAGGGAGTTGTTCTGACATATAAAAGTCATTTTTTGACTGAAGGAAAAACAAAATAACTCAGCCAAAAAACCACCCTCTTCAACAATCATTGCAGCACCTTTAGCGCGATGGCAGAATCACAGAGTGGTTTAGGTTGGCAGGGACATTTAAAGGTCACATCATCCAATCCTACTGACATGGACAGGGGCACCTTCCAGTAGATCAGGTTGCTCAGAGTCCCATATTTCCAGGCATGTGGCATCTACCACCTCTCTGGGCAACCTGTGCCAGTGTTTCACCACCCTCACCATAAAAAAAAATTCCTCATTTTATCTACTCTGTGTCTACTCTCTTTCAGTTTAAAACCGTTACCCACTACAGGCCCTGCTAAAAGGTCTGTTCCCATCTTTCCTGTAGGACCCATTTAAGTATTGAAAGGCCACAATAAGGTCTCCCTAGAGCCATCTCTTCTCCAAGGCTGAACAATCCCAACTCTCCCAGCCCGTCTGCACAGAGGAGGTGCTCCATTTCTCTGATCCTTTTTGTGGCCTCCCCTGGTCCTGCTCCAATAGGTCCATGTCTTTCTTGCACTGATAGAGATGTTGAGGTGGAAGGCTGAGTGACATGAGCCGCAATGCTTTGTTCTGGGCTTGGATATTCAAACTACTCATCTCCTGGATGAGTCACTTTTCCTCTGACATGCAAAAAGCTGGGAATGGCCTCCAGTTCCTGTGACACATGACCACGTGTGGCATGATGTTCTCATGTATGGATTGATAAATACCTCAGAAAAAGGCTAAAGTCTCTTTTGGGATGCACTGGCAGAGCCGTGTACTTGCAACCATTCCTTAGGTTTGTCCTTCAGGGAAAGCAGAGCACCAGAAATTCCCAGTTCTGCACGGTACTGGGAACAGTCTAATGGCCTCAGGCACCTGTTGTACTCCATTCTCCTTTTTTCTTTCAGAGCTTCAAAACCAAGCAAAAAATCACTGCTGAGATTCATCAGACAGGAAAACTCTTGGACTAAAAGGAATCACTCACCATCCTGCCTTAATTGGGTCAGACACATGAAAGAGGATGAAAGTGCAATCGCCTTGAGACAGCAAGGGTTGGGAGCCAAATCCATAAAAAGTGGAGAAAATCCAGAGTCCAGCTTCCCCTCCCAGCATCAGTTTACCACATACTCACATAATTGGCATCTGAGGCTGCTGCAGGTGCCCCCAGGCCATACATCCCTCATTTTAGGGAAACAGCCTTGAGCCCAAACTTATAGAAACCAAACTTGTGAGAGCCCAAGCAGCCAGAGAGAGGAGGAGAAGTGTTTTTGTGTGTGCACTCAGGAGACAGAAAGTGGGGCCAACAAGAGGAACCAAACAACAAACTTGTAAACCAAGGGTTTGCAAGACACTCAACAACACAATCATCATGTCGACCCTGTAAAACTGTAACACTTTAAGCTCCATGGAAATATACTCTACAAGTTTTCTCTCTCCCAGGAGACCTTAGAGCAACTTCCAGTACCTAGAGAGGGTCTGCAAGAGACGTGGAGAGGGACTTTTTAGCAGGGCTCGGAGTGGTAGGACAAAGGGTGATGGCTTAAAACTGACAGAGGGGAGGTTTAGATCAGCTTTTTGGAAGAAATTCTATATTCGCAGGGTGGTGAGTCGCTGGCACAGTTATCTCAGAGAAGTTGTGGCTGTCCCATTACTGGAAGTGTTATGAAAAAAGTAAAACTCAGCTCTTGCATCATGCAAAGTTTGTACCAACTTTTGTTTAAGCTGTTCAGACAAGGAGAAGACATCAATGATTTTAAACTGAAAGAGAGCAGGTTTAGATGAGCAATTAGGAAGAAATTCTTTCCTGGGAGGGTGGTGAGGCCCTGGCACAGGTTGCCCAGAGAAGCTGTGGCTGCCCCATCCCTGGAAGTGTCCAAGGCCAGGCTGGATGGGGCTCTGAGCAACCTGGGATAGTGGAAGGTGTCCCTGCCCATGGCAGGGAGGTGGAACTAGAGGCTCTTTAAGATCCTCTCCAACTCAAACCATTCCATGATTCTATGATGTCATGATGCAAATTCTTCATGGAAACCACAAAACAACACAAGAAACATTGGAAGATTCATCTGGGGAGTGGTGACCACAGTGGACTGGGAACAAACCTCACCTCTCACAGATTTCATCACAAAATGCAACCCAAGACCCAGCAAAACCCTTACCTGTGAAAATATGGGCACATGGAAGACAGTCAAAAGAAAGCTTTTGGGCAGGGAAAAGGAATTATCTTTTTATTTTTACCTCCCATCGTGGCTACAGATTAAATCCTCTGTAAGCAGAGATATGGGGCAACCAAACAGCCTGAAAACAGCCTCTGTAAAGAGGTTCATCCTGGCCCACCCTTTCTCTTTAGAGATAAGCAAGTGGAAGCATTTGCTGCCACGACTTCCCCAGGACACAACAACAAACACGGAGTGAAAGTCTACACCATGTTGTAAAATGACTTGATTACAACTGGGCAAGTGTTGCTTTGGCAAACAGTGAATGTGTTTATTTTTTCTCCAACAGAGTGGTAAGGGGAGGGGATAGAGGGAGGGCTTTTGGAGCACTCCAAATGTTTCATGTTGATTTACCCTTTTCAGAGCATGTTTCCATTTTAAAGCTTTTTCTCCTTGTAATGGAGGAAAAATAGAAAGAATTGAAAATGAAATATTTTGTTTTAGCTTAACCAACCCTTTTAGCATCAACCACCTCCCACCCCATCCTACTAAGCTATTGAAATATCCCTTATTCACACAGCTCTGGAGTCACATTCTTACCCCACAGTAATATATTTACAGGAAAATTTAAGAGCAGATCTAAATGCCTTTAATTTGATTGGCAATAAAAGCATTTCCCTCCCCATTCCCATGGCACTTCCCAAGGCTTTTGTCTACTGCTCCTCAGGGAGACTTGTCCAATTTACTGTGAAGGCAGTTTGTACAAATTGGAACAAGCATTTCCTAACATACTAAACACAGGAAAAAAAATAAAGAAAAAGAAGAGAAAAAAAAAGGAAAAAAAAAAGAAGAAAAAAAGATTTTATCACAGTTTTATCCCCATCACCTAAAATACAAATGAAGGAACAACCACAGCCAAGCCAGATTAAAAGGACATCCATCCTACCAGAGGCATGAATTTGTATTTTAACAACATGCAACTACTTCTTGCTTGGTATATCCTGTAGAAGTCAATCATGCCATGAATAAAATAGGATGTAGCAGCTCAAGGAAAGGGTTGGTCCATGTTTCTTGGATTGGGAAGGAAATCGGCAGGTAAAACCAAGCAGGCAAAACTATTTAAGAGTTCTACATCCATCAGTCTCCATTTAGAGACACTGAGATGGGCAGTGTGAGTAATTGTAGGAATGAAAGGTGAGGTTTCAGCATGGAAGAAATTATTATTATTATTATATCAATTATTAAACTGTTCTTATCTCATCAATCCATTAGCTTTCTCACTTTTACCCTTCCAATTCTTTCCCACCATCCTGCTGGGGGAGGTGAGAAAGTGGATTTGTGGTGCTTAGTTCCCAGTTGGAGTTAAACCACAGCAGCACTTCAGACAAGTCAGATGTTTTTAAAGCAGAGTTGGACTGAGAAAGACATGAGCACACTGGAAAGAAATGGAAAAGGAGGACAGACATGGACATGTTGGAGTGAATCCACTGAAGGGCCATGAAGATGATTGAGGGATGGGAGCATCTGGTTTATGAAGAGAGGCTGAGGGAGTTGGGACTGTTCAGTCTGGAAAAGAATGTGTGTGGGGGTGGTATTCAGGTGTATAAATATCTGATGGAAAGAAGTAAATATGATGGAGTCAGACTCTTGTTGGTGGTGCTCAGTGACAGGACAAGAGTCAATGGATTGAAACATGGAAAATTCCACTTCAAAAACTAAAAAAAGAAGCTGTTTTTTTGGGGGATTTGGACTGGCTTTTGTGCTTGTTTCGTGGTTTATGGTGAGGGTGGTCAAACATCAGCACAGGCTGCACAGAGAGGTTGTGGAGTCCTCGTCCTTATTCAAGCCCTGACTGAACATGGGCCTGAGTAACCTGCTCCAGGTGCCCCTGCT